TATATATATATATATATATATATATATATATATATAAGATATATTTTCAACAGCAATATATATTATTTAATTTTCATTTATTAAAATTTCATTTCATTAACTTACAATTCTAATTTCCTTAATAATTTCCGTATTTTTAGGTTCCATTTTTAGAGCAAATTGCAATTTTTCCATTGCTTTAGAAAATTCTCCCATTTTCAATAATGCCCGTCCATGACTACAAAATAAATATAATAAATACATTAGGTATTTTTTAAATATAGATATCTTCTAAAACTTATTTCAATACACAATACTTGAAATGAGTTTTAACTGTAGGTGTAGGTACTCTATTGCATGCACTACAAGCACGACGTGGCATATTTGCAATATTATAACAAACTGCAAGATTATTGTAGCCTCTTGAAAGTAATTTGTTTACTTCATCTTCTTCATCCTGATCTTTCAGTTCTACTTCTTCCAACCACTGAAGTCCTTTTGAATATCTAAAAGTACATGAGATAATTATAATATTGTTATAAATATATATCATTGAAAAAAATTTTATTTTTTTTACTCTCTTATAGCCTGTTTCACTTTTTGTTTACTAAAACAGTCTTTGGCAGTGTTAAATTTAGCATTTACACTCTTAACAATATTTGGAAGTTGTTTTCTTTCTTCTGAAGATAAACATTTAATATTATCAACAGATCCATTATCTATATAATCAGTTAAATGTACAATAAATAGAATTTCTTCGTTAGGAGGAATGCGAGGAGCACAACCATATTTTCCATATGCTAAATCTGGATGTATAATGAACATAGCTATTTCATGCTTTTGCATTGTTGTTATACCAATCTCTAAACCTGGTATTAACATGCCTTGATTAAGACGAAAAGTTTCTGCACCACCACGAGCAAAACTAGAATCAAATGGTTCATCCCTATATTCAAAATGTCCTATATATTTGATAGTAATTTGTGCATCATATGGCACAATAGATCCAACACCTTTTTGTTTTATTAATTTCATAACCTATAAAATTAAAAAAAACATTATTTTTTTTAAAAACTAAAAATATACAAAAAACAATAAAAAAAAAAACAATTTACTTTTCCATTTCCAAAAATATCAGTCATATTAGTTTTTAATTGCTCAAAGCTAATACCACAAACTGTAATTTGCTTGTTTATATTAGCATCATTACAATCATCTTCATCTTCATCTTCAAAATCATTCATATTTAGAAGATTTAATGCTTCTTCATTAGTTAATGGCAAATCTTCAGAATAACCAAATTCTTCTTCATCAAAATTTTCATAATCATTTGTGACTTCAAATACAAGTCCTTCTTTTAATGTTAAATCTCTAAAAAAAATATATTTTTATATTATTTATAAAATATATTTTATAATAAAATCTTTAATATATATATATATATATATTTTTTTTTTAAAGTATCGTAAAATCAATTTATATATATTTGTATACCTAAGACTAAATCCATCTGATGCATTTATATATTTTGCCATCTTAATTGCTAATATTATTTAATTATTTCTACTAACACTAGCACTAAGATTTAAAATAATCTTCTTTCACTATTTTTATTAAGATTAATTAAAATAATCTTTAAAAAAAAATCTCTCACGAGAAGGAAAATACCAATGTATATCTAATGTAAACACACTTACATATAATACGTTAATATGTATAAACTTGCCAATATATGAGACAAAATGCTGACAATGACAAACTCGCTGCGGTGACGATTCGTTTGAAAATCACATGGTATAATATCATTTCCCCCACTATTAACCATTTTGTCCCGCATACCGGCAACTCTGTGTATGAATTCAAATTAAACATTGCAATTATAAAATAATTTTACTTCTAATATTTGATAATTAATAAATTTGTATTATATTATAAATAATAAAAATCTATCAAATAATAGAACATGAATAAGAGAACATTTTTGGACATTGATGATACAATATTAATGAAAAATCTTATTTTACCTGTAAGTGATAATAATAATAATTAGACTTATTTTATGTTGAAATTAGTATATATGATATATATTTTTTATTTTTATAGGAAAATAAATCAATTAATGATAAATTAATAAAATCTGATTCAAAACCTTTCTTTATTATTCAACCTATACCAGGTAATTCTTATTAATCTTTTTTAAAAATTAATATATAAAATACATAACCTTTATACATACATTATAGGTATATGTGTAAAAACTAAAACTGATGCTGGAGAAAAAATATTTCTAAATATTTGTATATCTGATAAAATTCCATCACCTGATGATATATCGGATGTAAAACTTTTTGAAATATTATCTGAAGAAAACCCACAATTTGTTATACCTATGAGTATTGGAAGTGAAAGATTTGAATCTGATAAATGTAAATAAATTTCATAAAAGAATAATATTTAATTTAAAAAAATAATATTTAAAAAATATTAATTTTATAGGTGGATCTCCTTGTGTAACATATGATGTTGTGATTAATACAATATATTTTGAAAAATGTCAAAAAAACAAAAATTTTTTATTATTCACAATATCAGTTATAATGGATGGTGTATCAAATAAATTTAATAAAATATTAAATACAGAAGATTATGTAATTCTAAAAAACCGCAAGGTATATTTATTTTATAATCATCATAGAAATGTAAGATATATATAAAACTTCAAAATAAATTATAATTATTTATCAATTTAGGTAATGGGAAAATTACAACAACACAGAATTGAAAATCGTGAACCACGAGTTCATACAGAAACTAAAAAAAAATTAATTGAAGAAATTAAGACTCCTATTTCAAATATTCATGAAAAACAAAAAAATATTTCTTTAGAAACTAATGTTATCTCAAAATTGGATTATGTTTTACTGAAACAATTTTTAGAAGGAACATCCATTCATTTAATTGGTTTATTCCAGATACCTAAAGGAGTAAGATAATTAAAAACTTATTTTCAATAGATAATATATGTATTTTTATTTACTTATTTATTTAATATAGATTACGAGTAAAGAGATAGAAGTACTTCTTAATGAAGATCGTATTGTAATTATTATTGATAAAACTGGTACCACATGTGATCTATCAATTCCATATATCATAAATATAGAATCTGCAAAATGTATCTTAGACAATAATTTCAGAGTAAGAATATTTTATAATATAATATTTTAAAAATTTTTACATATATATATATATTTTTTATAACAATATTAGAATAATATATAATTTATTTATATTTTTAACAGATATTGAGATTAGATATGCCAGTAAAAAAGGCTTTAGAGAATATTCAAAATAATTAATTCAATCAATTATTTTATTATAACGAAAAATATTATAATATTTATTTATATTTTAAAAAGTTAAAATATAAATTGCACTATTTACTATTTCAACTGATTTTTTTTATTAACAAAACCACAATTTTAATATATATAAACAATAAAATTAGATCTAGATTAACAAATATAAAACAAGATTTGTATTTTTGGTATATGAAGTAATATAGAATGCCTGACAATATATTATATATCAATATAATAATGAATGTATAGGAACAAGCACTAAGTGTTGGAATGATTTTTATAGTGATTATATTCATTTCAATTTAAGCTATATTATACTATAAAAATCGTTTGAGAAATATTATTTTCATAATTAAAAAAAAATTTTATATTTCTGTGTAAAATGTTGGTCTTTCTATTCCAATCATGGTAAAAACATTTGGCAAGAGATATACTGTATTTACACCTATCATAAAACAAGTCATATATTTATGAAGTAAATCAATGAAAATCTTATTTTTATTTTCTGAATAATTTTCACTTTTCATATCCTTGGAATTAATTTTTAAAATGGCACATATTGTCCCATAAATAAAGGATTTGCAAGCAGCTCTTGTTGCAAGAATGCTACAAAATCCAAGTATTGTTCTAAGTATCATGCAGCCAAACATTGGATAAGATGGCCATATAATATCATATGGTGGTGATTTTGTAGGAGCTGACATTGATCCAATATTATAATTAAGCCATGCTCCTACATGAACTCCAGTAGTAACAGATACTACCATAGTAGTATCACCTCTAAAATAAAAAATTTATCATAGCAATCAAAATAATAAAGTATATATATTTATAAAGTATAAAATTATCACTTTCATTACCTAGTTGGTGTCCATTTTTTGCTGCATGGATAATAAACTATAACACCTATACTAAGGGCTATTAAAATTGCTAAAGCCCAAATATTTGTAAGAACATAATAATCTGTTATTTCCACTATAGGTACTAATGGAATCATTAATGCAATAGCTAATAATAAACCTGCTAGGATATCTAATACTGTGTGCATACCCAAATAGAGTCTACTCATACACACAATTGTACACCTTTTAAATAAATAATAATAATTTTAAAATCATTTATTAATTTTAATCAATCTATTGTCAAAGAATAATATATCACTTACCATAGAGTTGCAATTGTCCAACCAATGGAAATAGAATAAATATATCTATTCATTGTAAATAATACTACACTGAATGGAATTGATATACCAATCATAGCATGAGTGGATGGCATTCCATATTCTTCTGACCATTTGTCTTGTAATCGAACTGCTGGAGGACAAGCAGGTCTTGCCCAACATATAATATCTTTTAATATTTGACCTACGTACAAACTTTTGTAATATAACTATAAAATATTTAGAAATAAAATTATTAATATAAGATCTTATATTATATCTCTATGGAGGAATAACATACCTATTGTCATAACAATAGCCCATACTAAGACAACTCTTCTACCAACTGCACCATCAATATTCCAAAACCAAAAAGGTATAAATGTAGAATAAAATATTTCATCTCCTAATATTGTTCCAAATAAAAATAAATAATACCAAAAATAATTTGTTATGGTATAATTTGTATTATAAATGCCTGATGATTGTTTTTGTTTATCATCTGTATAAATATTCTCATTAATTATCTTTTCCTCTGTTGTAATATAACCATTTTCTTTTATTCCTTCAGATTTCAATAAAAAAATATTTGAATTCAATTTAATATTTCGAGAATTAGTATCATGAATTTCTGATAATAAATTTTCTTTACAATATTCTTTCTGCGTATAATGTATTTTTACACCAAAATATTTTTGTATTTTTGCCACTAAAGAAGCATCTTTCAAATATTCTACAACTTCTGACCACATAGTTTCTACATGTAATATACAAGTTTCATCGCCACAAAAACATTTTATTTATCGCAATATGTATTAATATGGCAATAATAAATTTATAAAATTGTATAAGATTTTAATATATAAAAGAATTGTTAAAATGAAAATAATTGAATGTAAATCTATCACGTTAATTTATCCAATATTCATAGAGTCATTTATAACAAATTTTTATTTTTAATATGATAATTCAAAGTACACGTGTATTAAATAAACGTAAAATTGATAATATTGCCGTACATCATCTTAAAAGATGATATGTTTTACTATCTTCACAACACGTTATTTGTATGCCATAAAGTAATTTATACATAGTTACAGAAAAGATGTTGCAATTTAAATCCGCCATATTCAAGAGAAACCAACAATTTTATGGCAGTTTTACAATCAAACCATATTTATATCTTAATGTAAAGAAGCATTAATATTTTTAATTATTGAAAACTAGGAAAAGTAGAAAACGAAATATATATTATATATTTGATAAGCTTATATATTTGATAAAAAAAATTCTAATATAAAAAGAAGTAACCTTAGTCCTTTTATTTAATAACCTACCTTTAATTTCTTAATTGGAATTTTATATACAATAATAAAACTTATAAAATAAAATAGACCCATTTCCCATATATTACAATATATAAAATATACAATAAACAATACTATTTAAAAATACAATAAAAGAACATTTCGCAATTTTTTTTCTATCAATGATATATATATTATTAAATTATTAAATCATATATACTTATCATAATCATGTATATATATATATATATATATATATATATACATATCATGTATATATGATTTAATATATGAAATATTATTTGCAAAATGAATATTTATCACAGAAACATTTCAATTTAAAATTTAATCATTCATTAGTTGATTTATTATTGAAACATTTGTCCAATAAGAGCGAAACTTTTAACAGCTAAAGAAACATCAGAAATATCAGAATTTGGATGAATATGTAAATCTGATGTATTAACAGCATTTACATTAGTAATATTCTGAGAATTTATCTTTTGAATATTATCAATATAGCTTTTGCTGTTTTGTGTATTCATGGAATTTGTATTATTCAGATACATTTGTGGTAATACTGTGATAATAGGAGTTACACTTGGCGAAGATATATCAGATTCACAATAAGCTTGCACACTTTGTGTTGAATTAGATTGATAGCTATTATATTGTGCTTTACATTTTTTCTCATGTACAAATAAACTACCAGAATGACTATATGCTGTACCACAAATTTTACAAGCATATGGTTTTTCTCCCGTATGCGTGAATTTATGTTCTTTCAGATATTTTAATCTTCTGAATGATTTACCGCACGTTTTACAATGATAATTTGCTTCTCCAGTATGTGTTGTAATATGTGCTTTAAGTGTACATGATTTGGCAAAAGCAGCACTACAAAAATGACAAACAAATGGTCTATCACCAGTATGAGTTCTTTCATGATTAATACAATTAGAATTTGATGTGAATCCTCTTCCACAATATTTGCAAACATGAGGCTTATAGCCTGTATGTGTTCTCATATGAAACATGAGACCTGTATTTTGCCTGAAAGTCTTACTACATATATGACATAAAAATCGTTTAAAATTTACATCTTGTTGTTCTTTAGCACGTTCATGAATTCTTATATGTTTCTGTAATTTAATTTCTTTTTCAAAAGATTTATTACATTCGTCACATCGAAATGGTTTTAATCTTTCATTTGGTTTATCTTGATTTTTTATTTTCTCATCACAAGTACACATTTTACCACATGTCAGACAGTTTTCTTCTTCTCCATTATGCATACTCAATTGATGTTTTAACAAAGATTTTTTTGTATCGTATGATTTTCCACAAATTTTACAAGGAAAACCCTTTTCTTCATTATCTGAATCAAGTTCCTCTCTAATCCAACTATTTATTAATTTAATAGCTGATTTATCATCACATGGTTTTTGTGTTTCTAATGATATTGCCTTTTCATCATGTCCATATCGATTCTTATGACTATTTAATCTATCTTGACGAAAAAATTTCATATTACATACATTGCAAACAAATTTTTTTTCAATATGAATTTGTATATGTTTTTGAAATGATTTTTCATTTGCACAATATTTAGTACAATAATTACATCGGTAAAGTGTTTCATGATTAAAAGAATCAATATTTTCAGCATTAATATCTGATGATAAATTTAAATTGGATTTTTTATCATTAGATTCTAATGTCTTTTTTTTATGGATATTTAAAATAATATTTTCATTTGTTATAAATTCTTCTTCTATTGTTTTTATATTTTTGTTACTTTCAGCTTCAAAAATCTTTTTTTCTGGTTCAATATTTTCCAATTTTCTTTTATCTCTTATTTCCTTTAGAATGGAAAGAACTTCTTTTGGATTAGTTCTTTTATGAACATTTAAATGTCTTACCATAGTATCAGTTTTTCTAAAATTTCTATTACATATTTTACAAAGCACTGGTTTAGGTTTTTCCTTAATCATATGCAATTTGCTATGCTGTATTAATTTATCAAGATGAAAAAAATATTTGCTACATTTATCACATGTAAATTTTTTTTCATCATGAGTCAAAATATGTCTATCCAAAGATCTTTTACTAGAATAACATCTTGTACATTTTGGACAAATATGAGAATTTTGAGAATCTTTTTTTTTAATATCTGCTGGATCATTATCCCATTTAACAGTTGTATTTTTTTTTATGTATTGCCTTTGTCTTTCTTTATGATTTTTTAAATTTTCTATAGATGTTACTCTTTTAAACATTGTCATTTTTTTTGTTCGATAAACTTCTCTTCCTGTAATATTTTTTTTATATTCTGTTTGTTTACATTTCATATAACCATTTTGTTTATTTAAATTGCTATTAGATTCTTTATCTTCTACATATTTTGATTCATTAATCATTTCATTATCTTTTATATTTTTAGTATCTGAATTAACAATTATCATTGAATAAGGATTATAACCCATTGCAGTTTCAAGTTTAATTAAATCAGAAGTAAAAGAATAATCAGTTTGACAATATTGATCCTGATAAAAAAAAAAATATTAATACTTTTATGATCATGTTTTTTATTTACAAAATAAATATATACTTACTATTGTAGTCTTACATAAGTTAATATTATATATTTTTTCCACTTTACCATATAATTCTCTTAATTGGATATCAGATTGTTGACATTGCTGTCTTAATTCATGAGCATCATTAATTTTTAATATACATTTCATGCAAATAGTGGAAGGTAAACCATCATTCTCTAATATCTATTAAAAGAGAAATACATTATGAAAAATGTAATACATATGAAAATACATTATGAAAAATATTTCAAAAGAAGAAAAGTATTGAAATTAAACTGACCTCTATACCACTGCACAAACGAAGTTTTTCAGATAAATCAATTGTGTTTTCGTCTATAGAATTAGTTTGTTTAGCATTGAAAATGCATTGGTTATTTTGATTTGTTGCAAGACAAACGCGGCAAATATTGCCACTATCATTTGATAAAATTGATGTTTTATTTTCGATTTCCATTAGATATTAGTTAAACTAAGTGTTTAACTAGAAATATATTTATATATATTGTTTATAATCGTTGATCATAAATGATCATAATTTAGACATGATACAATAGCATTCACCATTACATACGCGTAATTTTTTTTTTTTTTTATATAAAAGTTCATCAGTGTTTCTGGTAGAGTTTCTATGACTGTTGTAAAAATTCAAGGTTTTTTACAATATAATCATTATTTTAAAATAATAATCTTTCATTACATTATTGTTATTTTTTATTGTATAATATATATTTCAAATTCATCTTTAAAAATAAAATATCAATAAAAACGAAAAATACAAATAAGTACTAATCTAACCATTTCATTTGTTCGTGACATAAGCAACTACGATATAATATATATAATAGTAAATACTAAATGCACAAATAACGATTTAAGACATTAGAATATTTAAAAAAGTTTATGCGATAAAAACAATCGTTTTACATTATACGTGTAAATAAATGGAAAACTTACCAGCAAAAAGAAGTTATGAAGATGATGGTACTACATCGAATTCGAAAGAAAGAAAAAAGCTTAATACTAGTCGGTACTTAACCTATGACGTTTTAAGAATTGTATTTAAATATTTGAATGGAATGGAACTCTCGAACGCTTCAATGGTTTGCAGGTGTGGAAAGGTTCATTATTTATATAAAGTTCTTATATCTTAAATGAAAGAAAAATTCATTGTTTATTCGTCGTAGAAGTCTACCCAGTCGAGAGATAAACATTTGACAAAAGTATATCTTTATTTATTAAATTTTTAATAATTTTTAATAAATATTACGAAATTTTATCAGATTATTTTTATAATATCGGTATTCTCGCAATTCATAAAATATGCTAATGTATAGCGCTTTTTTTGCATTTCAGATCTTGGTTAGAAGTGGCAAATGATGAAAAACGAACAAGAGGGGGTCCTATCTGTTTTATAGAAAATTTAGAAATGGGTGTGGAATATTTTAATATTCAAATTACCGAAAAATTAAGAATCAAGCCAACATTAGGATTAATTTTTAAAGCTCCACGTAGATTATATAATAAACAAGGTATATTATTTATATTATATTTTAATTTTTTCACATTTTAGGATAGTTTTAAATAAATAAATATATATATTTATTATTAATTATAATATAATATATTATATATAATTATAATATTAATATCATAATATTATTATAATAATTATAATATAATATAATATATATAATTAATTTTAATAAAATATATATAATATTTAATGAATAATTATATTTAATTTTATAAAGATTGCCATTGTAAAATACTTCCAAAAAATTGTGATGCAATAACACTTGCCACATTTGGTATACTTATCAATGATAAAGAAATGGAAAGTGCTTTAGACAATATTGTATGTGCATTTTTACCTGAAATACCAGATGTAACAATCACAATTGTTGCATTTTCAAAATATAAGGTACAACATTATAGACGAATGAAAAAAGCTCTTAGCAGACATGGAACTAATGGATCTAAATGTCTTTTATTATTTTGTAATCAAAGAGGTCGTGCTTTAGCACAAACAGCTGCAGGGGAATTACAATTATGGTAAAATTTTAAATAATATCTAATATATAATTTATTATAAGATAACCTTGTTTTTTTTTTTACATTTAGTAACAAAACAGTTAAACCTTCTGTATGGGGAGGAGTAGTTAAGGATTTATATGTGTATAATTCAAAAAATCCTACAAATGATGATTATGTTCGATTTGCATTTTGTGTTGGAATTACTATAGTTGGATCAGTAGATTCATGGTCTATAGTTATGGATGAAAGTTATAAAACTAAGGAATTAGTTGAACAGAGATTAAAATTATTTAAGAGTCATATTTCTCTAAAAAAACATTCCATGGGTTTTATGTTTGCGTGTTGTGAACGTGGAGAAAATATGTTTAATGAACGAAATGTGGAGTCATCTATTTTCAAAAAATTATTTCCAGACATACCATTAGTAGGATGTTTCGGTGATGGAGAATTCGGAGAAACTACAATACCAACTAGTAAATATCTTTTATTATGACAATATTATTATAATGGAAAACTAAATAATTATATTAATACATTTTTTTCAGAAAGCTTTAATGATAAAAAAAATTTCTGGTACCACGAGAGATCAACCGTTTTTTTGATAATTACATATGGTTAAAATTCATAATCTATAACAAATAAAAATCTGAATCTCTTTAAAATTAATTGAAATAATATCTTTGAATTAAAAACGTATGTGATATACGTTAAATCGCGAACTATAATATACAAAGTCTACAATTGTGATTTAATTGTGAGAAAAAATGTGTTTTGTAATGATTTATGTTAATATATTTTACGTTCGTATAAATCATTTTATATTTCTCTTTAATTTACTTCGTAAAAAAAAAATCTTTTTACTTTTTATTTATCTTAAAAGAAATGGATGGCTTCCTGAATAATGAACAAAACAATTTAAAAATAATTATCAGTATAGAAAACGACAATTCTGTTTAATATCACATATGCGTTTACTGTTTCAACGCGATAATATGAAAATACTAAGCATATCCAACAGATAAGTGGGTAAAAATCTACACTTCTTTGAATACAATTATAATGTTTAAGGCATTGTTAAACAACCACTTGATAGTATTTCCGCACATCCGAGATTGGAATAAAGATAAAATAAAGGAAACTAGGCCATGTAAGAGATTGTTTATGTTTATGTGATATTGTCAGGGTTTATAAAAAGGTTATTTTAAAATTTTCGTCACCTAAATAAGACAACTAGTATTTCTAAGTACTTACATATTGAAAATTTTTTATTGCATATGAGTTTTTAATTTTTTAAATATCAAATAGTGATTTTTAAATGTAAAACAATGATTACGCTAAATCTATTGACATATTTCATATTAGTCATTTTATTTAATTTTACAATTTGCAAAACATGGAATAGTAATTTGCAACAAAGATACGATGGATATGGTCAGGATTGGATTTTTATGCCTGATGGAAATGATCAACCACAGGTTGCAGTACTAAAACGCGCAGAAAATGATGAACGAGACATTTTTGATGAATCAGAAATATCTTTTATTCTTTATACTAGGTATTTATAATTTATAATTTAAATATTTATTTAAAAATATATTTAAATCTTTTTTGAAATGTAAATATATTTCAAGATATGGTTCTAAAAATGGTACTCAATTATATACGAACGATACCAAAGAACTACAAAATTCTAATTTTGATCCATCTCGACAAACGAAGTTTATAACGCATGGATGGAAATCGAGTGCAATGAGTACTAATATCGCCAATTTGAAAGATGGTATTATAAAGATTTGAAAATGTGATTTAATATAAAATCTATTTCACAATACATATTTCACAATTTTTTATGATTATATAGAATATTTAAAACATAATGATTACAATATCATTATGGTTGATTGGCAACCTTTGGCTGCAAGCACATTTTATCTTGGACCAATGCAAAATACAAAACTGGTAGGAAAAGCAGCTGCTGAATTTATCGACTTTTTAGTTGCAGAAACTGGCCTTGAAACTGAAAATATTCATTTTCTTGGTATACAATATTATTAATTTGAATTAAAAATATAATTATTATAGTTTTTTTATATTTTGATTATTATTATACAAAGGACATTCTCTTGGAGCGCATGTAGCTGGTAATACGGGAAGTTCAATAACTTCTGGTCATTTAGGAAGAATAACAGGTTTAGATCCTGCTTTGCCTGGATTTCATTTACTTACATCCAATAAAACTCGATTAGATCCTTCAGATGCGATATTTGTTGATATTATTCATTCTTGTGGTGGAATCTTAGGATTTCTACAACCTTTAGGCAGCGTAGATTTCTATCCAAATGCAGGAACACCTATTCAACCTGGTTGCTGTTGTATTCCAGAAATAATAGGTAATATATAATTTATGTATTTAGTAATAAATACATCTACACATATGATTCTATTTACATAGAGGCATGTAGTCACACTCGAGCGACTATATATTTTACCGAAAGTATTAGTTCTAAAACTGGATTTGTGGCGAATAAATGCGATACGTGGAATCAATTTATGCAAGGAAATTGCAATTACTCCAAAACTACATTGATGGGAGAATATGTTGATAAAACGGCTACTGGAACTTATTTTCTTGAAACAGGATCTGAACCTCCTTATGCCATATCAAAAGAAATAACTGATAATATGATTTAAAAAAATTATTAATATTTTAAAATGAATGTAGGTAAGTAAAACTTATTATAGAATAAAATATATAAATTTAATGAAAATAATTTTATATGCAACATATCTAATATAAAATAATTTTAATAAATAATAATTACATTATATATAACATTTGATATACAACAAACTTCATGCATTGTCAACTTTCCAATAATTATTTTGAATATCGATATTTATCTTATCTACAAAATATGTATTAATTTGATGTAACTAGCAATAGTTGATCGCTTCAGGAATGATTTAATATCCTTAAATTGGTTTGTATAATAAAGTCGTAACATATTTTTTGCGATAACGGTGTGTCGCAGACAAAACCATTACACTGTCTTTAATGCTTAAAGCATATAAATGATTTAACATAACATGATTTGGTTCTGGTAAAAGTGTTGGTTCACACTGAAATTAACATTAATAAAAATTTGTATATTAGTAAATTCTTTAGTAAATTAAAATATACATATTTTTATATATTTACTTACAGATAAAGGAGTATCTTTATTAAGAATAACTTGAAGTAAATGTGGTGGCAATATTGGTGGACCGGCAACTTTCTCCCAAGGTTTATGAGGAGGAATTTCTTGTCCATATTCCGTCTGTGCGCTACTTGTAACACCTTCACTATCTTTTGCAAGAGCTTGGAAAACTTCAAAATCAGATTTTCTTACAGATACTAAATTATTTTTGGAACCCATACCATTATCAACAATTTTCTATAGTATAAAAAGTTTCAATTAAAACATATATGAATTAAAGAATATTTTAATATCACTTAAGATTAATAAAATAATTTCTTACAATATCTGGATCATGTCTCCATTCACCATCAACAAAAAATTTATATTGATGTTCTCCTTCTGGCAAATCAATAATTGTAACAAAATCACCATGACTTTTAACCATTGGTAATGTTTTCCATCCAGTAAAAGTTCCGCTGATATAAACTTGTTTACCACCTCCTTCCCATTTAAAAACTGTTGGTAATACTTTACTATCTGTTACTTTAGTACCTTCGGATACTGTATTTGAACGAGGACGTTGAGAAGTAAAATCATCTCCATCTTGATGAGCGTTAGTCTATTATTAATAAAAATAATAAAAATTCTTTGAGCAAAATTCTCTTTGTATTTTTATATTTTATTTAATATAATGAACTGAACTAATTATTGAATATAATGAAATATAATTAAAAATACTTTAGCAAAATAAGGTTCTTCTTCTTCATGAGATGATTGAAAAACTAATTTTTGGCTTGGTTTTTTATCAAAAACAAAAGCTTGGCCTTCCTTCCCTGGTGAAGGTGGAGGATATTCTTTAACATGACGATGCTCTCTATTTGTATTACTTGTGTGGTGATGTCCAACTGGTTGATTACTTCCAGCATTGCCCATTATCAGACTGTTGTCACAAAGAAAATTAAGATCACGATAAATGTTAATTTGACACAAATTATTGATAAAATATATAATAAAATATATGTATGTTCAACCTGTCTTTTAAATCACTTGTTTTATTTACAAAAATCTAAATTCCAAGAAATTATATCTTATTTAATTAAAATACGATTACGATCTAACTTTAGATTAATATTATTTATTATTTTATTTTCATTAATATTCTTTAATTGGAACATATGTTATTTATAAGCTACAAATCAAGCACAATAAAAACTTAAAATGTCAAAAAATGATATGATAAAAATAATGATTTCATTAGATTTGACTAAAAATGGCTGCCACACTTGTTGAAAATTTACTTATCGACATAAGTGAATATTGAACCACAGATGAAATATAGAATAGACATGATATGCAATACTTTTTCATGTCACAGAAATGCAATCACCTGATTCTTTTATTATTTTTTTGTCATATATGATATTATCATTCAGTATAAAAAATAATTGTAGCATCAAAAGCTGTTATTTTTTCATTATGCTATTTATGAATATAGCAATGTAATAAGCTGCATGTTTTTTGACACGAGTGATAGTTTATTTTTTAAACATTGCGATAATGAAATTAATTATTTTTTTAAGTTTTTTTTGCTTTTTTTATATTCACACTTGAGGTTACCAATATGTATTATTCAGTTTAGTTATTGTTTTATTATATTTAATTATAATTTTAATTTTACATTTATTTCATGGTCTTGATTTTTATTTTTTCAAATCATTGTTTGATTATCAGAATATTGAAAGATAATTTTCTTATATATTAGATAACATTTTATTTTTTTTTATAAAAATAAACATATTTAGAATATATCTTAAATATCTTTTACTGAAATTGAAACGAATATATAATATATAATAATTATATATAATAGATTTAAAATTTTTTTTAAATCTTTAAATATATCTATTTATAATAT